TAAATATATATATAAATATACAAATATATAAATAAATTTATAAATAAATATAGTATATATAAAATAATATATATATATAAATAAATACAGTATAATATATAAATATATCTATCAGCGCTGCATACTTTCGGATTGTCGATTCGAAAAAGTAACCAAGTCCAAAAGTATATGTACTGCGTATGACTGGTACACAGGCAAAGCTCCCCGGTGTGTTATTCATTTGCATCTACTAGGCCAAAGAATATAGGCTAGGCCTACGTGTTTTTAAAACTGCATAACCTGAAGAAAAAAAAAAAAATTAAATGTATGACTCGCACATTGGCTCGCATGACTCGCTGGCTCGCACTTTGGCACTACTCCCATAAATTAACCTGCAGCATACTTGTTGTGTGATAAGATTCACAAAAGCTAACAAAAATAAAAACTTATCCAAGAGCATGTAAATGAAACTAATGATATTGTAGATAACGCATTGGGAATTAAAATGAATAGAAGGAAAGAAAAGTGCAGGAAAAAAAATCATTTTTAATGAGTAAACATTATTGTTTTAGAGGGTTCAACCAATAAAATGACACAATGGTGTTACGGAAATCTTGCCTCCTTAGGTTGTTGAATATTTTATATTTTTATATTTTATTTTATTGGGAAATTACACCTTTATTTCGGTGGCACACACAAAGGTGGTGGATACCATATTTATTGGAAAGTAGAGGTAGAGAATGCTCTTGTCGCCAATTTGGATACCTGATAGCTCTGATTCAGGGAATTGCTTGCTGTGCCGCCCTCTACAATAATTTGGTCAGTCATAACTAGAAATGGCGGAAGAGATGAACACAGTGGATGATCAATCTCCAACAAAATCGTCCGTCTCCGTAATAAAACGAGAAGGTAACTTTTATTTCTGGATGAATATTCTAGAATAATTTATTTAATTAGTGTTGAAATTATTTGAAATAAACTTAACATCCTTTAAGCGTATTTCTTCTGAAGAAGCCTAGGCTAGCCTCGCCTCTCCACCGAGGATCGAGTCTAGGCTAGAGGGCCATTCGTCCAGACTAGCCTAGGCCTAGGCCTTACTCTAGCGGCAAGGGGTGTCGGTCAATACCCACTCTGGTTAACCCGTACACAAATTTTGGACGACCCGTACCCACGTTTAGTTAACCCGTACACGCGTCATTTTGGTCAACCTGTACCCAAAAGATATTTGTATCTATCATCAGTACGATCTTGTGCGGTCTGTAAGAAGATTGTCGTTGCCGATAAAGGTAAGTTTTACATAGTTTTAATTTTCTCTGCTTCGTTTTCTTTTTCTTTTCCTCTGTGCCTAGGTATTCTTTATGCCGTGGCTAGAGATACGGTACCGTATCGGAACTTCTGTTTGCTAAAGGTACGGTAAATTATATTACGTCATGATTAGCCAATAGAAACGCCGATACATGCCTGACGTCATTCAGTGCACAGCTGCTGCAAGAGTAGTGAGTGTGTGTGTTTTGTTTTAGCAACGATCGAAGATAAGAAATTTCGTTCGTTCGGGGGTGTTGTTGACAGGCTGTGATTAATATTCTGTAGCCCGAGGCCCTATAACAAATAAAAAGGATAGCAGTTTTGCTAGATTTGGCGACATCAATCGAGAGTAAACTATTTTAATAGTAGAAGCCAGGCCTAGGCGGCCTTAGCTACCCCTGCTACTGTGTGTAGTATACGCACTGTAGGCCTATATTATACTACTACAAATAATGTTTACTCTCACTGATAATTACAATCTCCATGTTGCTTGGTTGGCTATTTCAATCAGCAATAATAACTAGTGCCTACTATTCTATAGGCTTAGGCTAGGCCCCTAGTAGTAGCACTACAGTACTAAGCCTAGCCTAGTAGTATGCCTATAATAAGCATAGGCCCCTAGGTGGGTATTCGGCCTAGGCCTAGCCTTAGTATAGTAGACCATTCTCTATGGTAGACCATAAAATACACAAGAATAAGAAATAAGGACTTTTAACCCAAACATTGTGATAAGCCCCAATCGAAGTACATGAAATGGGCCTATTATGACATAAATTTGATCGTAATTGTTCGCGCCACACGTTTCTCATTTCAGCAACATTTATTTCTTTCATCTTACATACAGTAGAAAACAATTAAATTGAGCAATAATAATATCAGAATAACTGTATAACTAATAGCAATTAACATAATATAAACAATGAAAGAGGCAACAGCTCTGGAAGTAAATTCGGTTTAAAGGTTAAACCGAAACTTGTGTCGAGCTAGCCAGATAATAGACAATAACAGTAAATTTCAAAACACATCAAAAACAAAACAACAAGAAAACAACAGACGAACATCAGGAAAGATGGAAAAAAAGAGGGCAAATGACACGGAAGCACTGGTTAATAGCTGGACAAATTTTAAGGGAAATTAATCATAAAAGGATAAGAAATGAGTTTTTAATTTATTAAGGAATATAATAATTGAAGGGGCAGATGAAATTTCTTTAGGAAGCTTGTTAAATAATTTCGATCCACTATACCGGATGTTATGCTCTGTTATTTTGTTAGTAATATCGATTAAGGCAAAAGAAGTGGAATATTTTTTTCTAAAACCAAACTGCTTATTATAAAGGATATCATATTTGTTAATAAAATCATAAGCACGATCATAAATAATTTTTTCAAGGACCTTGGAAAAAAATGGAAGAATCGAAATTGGACGGTAATTGTTGGGATCAGTTCTATTGCCCTTTTTTAAAAACAGGTGTTATTTTACCTATCTTCATGCTATATGGAAAAATACCAATAGAAAGCGATAAATTAAAAATGCGAGTTAGTGGAAAAAGAAATTAATCAATAGATTTTTTGACGTTACCAGAGATGTCATCAATGCCCGGGGCCTTGTTATTTTTAAGAGTCTTAACAATCTTGAGCACTTCGTCTTCACAAACTGGAGAAAGAAAGAGTGAATTAATAATTGGTGGTTCAAGAAAGTCATTGAATGATTTAGAAGAATTATTGATAATTGAATTAGCAAGTTTCGGGCCTGTATTTGTAAAATGATTGTTTAATAAGTTTGCAACTGATAAGGGATCTTTTGTTAATTTATCGTTTACCTTAATCTCAATACCAGATTGATTACTATTGTTTAAAGATGGTTTAAGAAGAGAATTAATAACACGCCAGGTACCTTTGATGTTGGATTTTAATTTGCTAAAGATGTCAGAATAGTAATTTCTTTTGGCGGTCTTCAGGATTGTGTTTAGTTTGTTTCGATAATGCTTATACTTTGAAATATTTGAGTTAGTGGGTTGACGGAGGCTTTTAGAATAAAGTTTATGTTTACATGTTATTGAGGTTAGCAGTCCGTCACCCATGGTTTCAGTTTGGGTTTATATTTAATAGGATTATGTTGGGTTAAAGGAAAGTGTGTGTTATATAGGTAAGAGTATCTATTTAAAAATAAATCATATGCATAGTTAGGATCCGAGGCATTGATGACATCTTCCCGTGAACTGTTAGATAGGTCGTTCCGGAAGTTATAGATATTATATTCATTGATTTTTCTAGAATGCTAATGGTTATTTATTGGTTTATTAGGTTTGCATAAGTTACTAATATTAAAAATAGGAAGATGATCAGTGGAATCATCAATAACGATACCACTGATGCTGGATGACTCGATGTCATTGGTAAAAATGTTGTCAATAAGAGTTGCGGAATCAGGAGTAATTCTTGTCGGTCTATGAATAAGAGGAAAAAAAGAATCATTAAAAAAGCAGTGTACAAAATCATTAATGTTAGTATCAGAATCAAATTTTTAAAATATCAATATTAAAATCACCAAGAAGAAAGACTTTTTTCTTTTCTCTCGATATTTTCCTTAACAAGATTTCAAATTGTTCAGTAAATGAAGACATTGATATATTATGTGGTCTATATATAGTACCAATAATTAGGTTATGTTTGTTTGTATTTTGTATTCTCATGATCGCGACGTCGACTTGGCAAAAAAAGCCGAAATCGAGTCGGTCATTTGTATTGGCTAATCATGACGTAATTTAATTTACTGTACCTTTAGCAATCGGATGTTCCGATACGGTACCGTATCTTTAGCCACGGCGTATTCTTTATTATTAGTGTCCCTTTTTTCTCTTTTCTCCTATTTTTCAATTTTATTTTTAAAGTTTTTAATTTTCTCTGGTTTAAATTTTTCTTTTTCTTTAATTTTGCCTTTGAGTAGGTATGTTAAGAAAAAATTCATCTTTTTTGGATTCAAATGAAATTCATATGACACATTCTACAGCATTCAAACATTAAAAAAAATTTATTTGGTTAAAATCATCCCACTGGTTGATTTTATATGAATTATTTAAATGTTTTATTTTCTTGGAAATCTGGTAGGAATTAGTTGTATTTATGTCAAAAAGTTCACAATTTTTAAATTTTTTATTTCTATTGTTTTTGCACAGATTTTGTATCCGCAGCACTTCACAACCCTCAACTACAAGAACCACATTTATTACTCCCCTCCCCTCCCACTCCCCTCCCCTGATCCAGATATGAAAAGTACAGTACAGAATAAAAAGTAATTAAAAAATATATACATAGAGTAATAAGTTGTTGTCATACATTACTATCACTAATAATAATAATAATAATAATAATTTGGATTTGTAAAGTGCAAACTTACACTTACACTTACACTTCAACTCATCCCCATCCCCTCTTCACCCAAACCAACCTCAGACCCCACCTCAACCTCAGACCTCAACCCCCCCATCTGGTTCCCCACCCCTTATATTTCTTAACCCCTCTATATTAAAGATACTGAATTATTACAATACTGTACATTATTACATTACAATATTTAAAATGACAACATGCAAATCGAACTACCCCTGTACCTTCTTTCACTACTACCACCTCCCTTCCCCATCATCTTTCCCCACCCAGCATATATACTATAACTGCACACATTATAAAGTGATTAAACAAACAACATATACAGTAATGAATTGTTATGATACATTACCTATCATATATAATGGAACTGTACAAATAATAAACTTATAGTAATTAAATAACATATACAGTAATGATTTAATACACAATATACCCTACCCCATCCATAAAAAAATATTTAAATTTCATATATATTTATATAAAATATATATACATCACATACAAATAAAAGTTACTACCCACACCACACCCAATCCCTTCCCCAACCACTAGGGCATATATAGTATTATACCATATACCCTAACAAACAAGATCTAATTTCATAATAAATTTCAGTATATATATTTACACATACTGGCAAAACCCTCCCACCTTTACATCACTTTCATCATTCTATATTTACAATTAATGCATCACAGAATTTTTTTTTTTTTAATTCATTGCAGGACCAGATTACCAACTGTCAAGTCAATGGCTAGAGAGTACATTGGGATATCATAGCTTTCCGCATCATCCTCGTACGATTTGTCAGTTCCCCGATACTCTATTCTATATACAGACTTTCCTTTGAGAAATTTTTTTACTGCGCCACAGTAAACTTCCAACTTCCGGGTCTCTGAATCATACCAGATGTGCTGGAGGTAGCCCGAAAGTTTTCCTGACATTGACTTGAAGTTGGTCTTCAAATCCTTTCCATTCCTCTTTTTATTTCAATAACTTATCAAGTCCTTTTGCTTTCAGTTCTTTATCCATCATCTTTCTCTCAGCATCATTTCTTTGCTGACCCTTATCCTCAATACTTTTGCGAATTTCTGCCTACTGTATACTTCTTTCGTCGTTCTCTTTCTTACTTTGCGTTGCATCCTATCAATGGAAATAGCTGTATTCATTAGACGTTTTTTTGTTGACTGTTCCGTTTTAATATTAATTTTA